GCGTCTATCCGCCAAAGCCAAGTGCTCGAGACCAAAGCAGAGTGGACTTGTCCCGAGGGGCATTATGATATTATAAGGGGAGCGCAACCGCACAAAAAAAAAGAATGATACAAAAGCCGCGTATCGCACCCCCGCATCCGGAAACGCTTACCCAATCCTCATCCCATCACATCACCTCAAAAGCGAAATCCTATTTCAGCCATTCCATTTTTAGGAGCAGTGTCGCTTTGTTGGCTTGCTTTGGTCCTGCCCCGCGAAAGGGGTTAGCCTTTGAAAAAAAAACACACCTCATGGCAGACCAGCTCGGCTCGTCACGCTCGATCGGATGGAGCTCGCACAAAAGGGGACACACTTCCATCAGACCGCAGCACCACACAAACACGCGGCGCCCCTGGGATTCCCCATAGCCTTGTCCTTAGTCTCCGCCGAGATCACGCGCATTCCCCTTATTTATTCCTATTTTAATTTATCTATTTGGGCCACTGCTTGCTCGCTCCTCGGCTTCGCGGCCACATGCCCGCGAACCTTAATGTCCTTCTTTTGGCCCGTTTCGAGGGCGGAAAAGGACCTGTGTGTAACGGCTTCCGTTTCGTATGTACAAAGGTCGTAAGTAACTAACGGACGTGAACCCGCTTGACCCATGGCCATGGCCCATCTTCCTCTCCATTCCCCAAATCCGATTTCCTTCCATCTGCCGAAGATCTTCCTGCATTTGCAATTTGTATCTGTGCGCACGCCAACCCAATCTAGAGCTCGTTTCGTACTTTCGATTCCGACCCGCAAGCACACGACACGGAGATTCCGCGACGCTCTCTCTTCCTCTCCATATGCATTCCCATCACTCCTTCTGTCTCCTTCTTGCAATCTTCTTGAATTTCAACTTTCGCTGACTGACGCTCGATTTCCTAAGACAAGGCAACAACACAGAGAACAAGTGGCTTCGCAAAAAAACACACGGTCGTGTCCATTCCTAACTTATCACCGTCGTACATCCATCCATCCATCTTTGCAAGAACATCTATCTCTATCCATCTTCTCCCTCCAAATCTATCACTCACTCACTCGCGTGTTTGTTTGTCTGTTCGCCCCTCTCCGTCTCTCTTTAGTTATGCATACTATACTACGTATGTACGTTGTTCCCTAGAATCGCAGCTGGTATATACATCCCGCAAAAGATCTTCCTGCTCGAAAATCCACAATCACGCGCCAATTCCAATTCCGCTTCTCCCGTTTGTTCTCGACACGCATTCCTGTTCTCCGTAATCCATCGATCCGTCTTCCTTGTTTCCTATACCATACATCCATCCATCCATCCATCCATCCTATCACCCGCAAGCCGCGGACCTCATTTATGCCGTTGTCGGAGGCGCGCGCGGTGTTGCCTTCCCATATGCAATTTGACCCCCATCACCGTATTCTGTTCTGTTCTGTTCTGCGCGAATATCCAATCCATCTCGCTTTGAAATACAATCTAAATCTGAATCTGAATCCTTGAATCAAGGTATCAGTGTGCGTTGCGTACGTGCGTCTGAAGCCAATTCCGTTCTGCATCTGTTCTGCACCGATTTTCTTTTTCTTTTTCTTTTCTTTCCTTGGGCTTTGCTTTGCTTTGCTTGAAACACGCACTCCAATTCCAATTCCTTTGCCTAATCCATCACGCACACCTTTCCTCCCTTCCTTCTTTTTCTACCCAACCTAACCTAACCCGAGACGAAGCCTCATCTCCCCGCCCCGCCCCGGCTCATACCATCTCCAGTCTTCCTCTTTATAACCCCCCTTCTTCTTTCTTCCATCTTCCTCCGTTGTTCTCCGCCGCGCAATGTAACATCCACATGCTTGCTTGCTTGATTCAAACCCTAGCCTAGCCTGACCTACCCAAATACTTCCCCTTCCCTTGGTGTGCCCCTCTTTATATAAAAATTATCAACGCTCAAGATCAGGTCATGGCGTGCGCGCTCTCAATATTCTTCCTTCCTACAGCCAAACCTACATAAGTAAATATAATTCAACCCCATCTCTGGGCTGTATTAATACGACATGCATTCAGTCCGAATCCGAATCCGAATCTCATTCATCACTAGTGCGTGCGTGCGTGCACCCGAGCCAAATTCCAATTCCAATTCCGCAGTGATTTTCTTTGGTTCTTCCATGCGATTCCCCTCCGTCCCGCGTAGCCCAACGTAATGCAATGTATCCATTCACATGCTTGGCTTGATTCAAACTCCCTCTTCCTGCATTGTTCCCCTCCCCATGGTGTGCGTTGCTATCTCGCTCTTCAGCCTCCATACAACTCAAGCCCACCCACGTATTTGTTTATACCCTGATCCGGAACTGGAACTAGGGGAGAGAATAACGCCGTCGTGGGCCACGGTGGCAGCCTCAGAAAATATTTCAACGTCGGATTCAACAGGGGAGACGGAGGTTCGATTCCTCCCGACGGCATTCACGGAAGGAGTTTCTTTCTTGCTCCCTTTTTAAGATCTCAAAGGAGCGGTATAATCAAAACCATGTATTTATGGTGAATAAAGCCGTCGTGGGCCATGGAGGCTGCCCCCACAAAATAGTATGATGATGTCAACAGGGGAGTGGGAGGTTCGACCCCTCCCGACGGCATGCTCCGTTCTGAGGCGTTCTTTTTGCTTTTTTCAACTCGGTTGTTTGCTTTCTTCAGGTATACTTGCCCTCTCCGCGTCGAACGTCTATCCTCTGGTGTTGTCGTTGTCGCGTCTTGGCTGTTGTTCTGGTACGGTATGGTATTGAACTTATCTTACCTTCCCTTCCCTTACCGATCCTCACCTTTCACCAGGAAGTAGACAAGAATTCAGGTCTGCATATTGTATATATGGTACATAGTAGATAAAACAAGCCGTCGTGGGCCTGGCGGCCTCCCCAGAAATTATGTCCTCATCCTCAAATGGAATTTAACACGGGAGTCGGAGGTTCGACTCCTCCCGACGGCATCCTGTGGCTTGATGTGGTTTCTTTTTGTCATCTCCGCCTGGTTGATTTTTTCTATCTATCTCTCTTCCTGTGTATCATAAACACGAATCAAATACTGTACTTGTCATCCTACGCAAAAAAACTGCCAGTGCGACTTTGCTGCCTTGTCAGCCATTTGGCACGTAAATTCAACCCTACAGAGTCCTGGTTCGAGATGTGTGAAATACGCCGTCGTGGGCCATGGTGGCCGCCCACACCGAATTTCATGATTGCAATAAATCTGAACAGGGTAGACGGAGGTTCGATCCTTCCAGACGGCATTCACTATCATTGAATGGTAGCTTTTTGTCTGGCAATGGTTTCTTTTTTCTCCGCACAATACATAAATCCAAGTGTCATATTTATTCATGGCTTGAACTGGGCGAATAAAGCCGTCGTGGGCCATGGAGGCCGCCCCCACAAAATAGCCAAGTGATCTAGGCGGATTTACACAGGGGAGTCGGAGGTTCGATTCCTCCCGATGGCATATCGTTGATTGGTTGTAGTTTTTTTTTTTTTTTTGAACTCGGACTCGACTTGATGCTAGTCGTTCTGCACCCGAATCAGTACCCGTAACCCTACAACAAAACTTGTGTCCGAAGCACAATAAAATGAATCCAACCCAAGCATACATATGCATGGTTCAACTTGAGCGAAATATGTACGCCGTCGTGGGCCACGGAGGCCGTCCACGACGTATGACACGCAGTCCTTCTGAATCGGGGAGACAGAGGTTCGATTCCTCCCGACGGCATTCTGTGTCTTGATATGGTTTCTTTTTCTTCTCCGCACAATACATAATTCAAGTGTCCTATTTATTTATGACTTGAACTGGGGGAGAGAATGAAGCTGTCGTGGGCCATGGAGGCCGCCTCCACAAAATAACCACGCTATGAGGCGGATTTCAACAGGGGAGTCGGAGGTTCGACTCCTCCTGACGGCATATACCAGTATTGTATGCCTTTTTGCAACTCGGGTTGTTTTCTTGCGTTCGTCATGCTCTTGTATAGTCTTATCTCTGGCATTCTCGATGCTCTATTTTTAGCGCTATCCCATGTCTATCTTCTTACCCGCCTCAAATTTGGAGTGTAGTTATTATTATAACCCCGTCCCCGTATACTCTACGACAATTAACTTATGTGGTTGATTCTTCCTATTGCCTGTCTTCTTTCCAGGGGCCGAAGCACAATAAAATAATTTCAAACCTACTTGCATATTTACGGTCCGAGCTAAATGAAGAAAGCCGTCGTGGGCCGTGGAGGCCGCCCCTATGAAATAATCGATGGTTTGTGAACGAAACTGAGTGCGGAGAAGGAGGTTCGATTCCTTCCAACGGCATATGGCGGGAGTATTCATCCCTTCTTTTTCCTTTGCCATCCTCTGAGCTTACACCTCTATTCCGCCTCTTTTGTCGTCGGTTTAAGTCGAATGCGAAGTATGCCAATGGCCTTCACTGAACACTTGTAGCCTTTTTGCTTGCTCCCTTTCTTTTCTTAATCCAGAACTCGGTTGTCCTTATTCTTTTCTTCATGCTCTTGTGTACTCTTATCTCTATCTTTTGTTTATCATATGTCTGCCTATCTCCTTACCTACCTCGAATTATGAGTGTAGCTGCATCCTGGCACTGAACTTACCTTACCTTGCCGATCCTTCTTCCGAGATGTAGACGGAAATGGAAATTCAAGGTCTACATATGTACGGTACAGAGCAGATAAAGCAAGCCATTGTGGGCCATGAAGGCTGCCCCACAAAATATCCGTGGTGATATAGCAAATTTCATATCTCAATGGGGGGTCGGAGGTTCGATTCCTCCCGATGGTATTCTCTGTACGCCCGTCAGGTTTTTTGACAACTCATTTAGTTCTCTCTTTACCTTCATGCTTGTAAGTAGGTAGGAAAGCAAATACCGTTCATCGAGCTACACAGAACAGCGAATGACAACAGGGCTCAACTTTCATTTCATTTCGCAAGCGGTGGGAAAATGAAACCTACATTTTAGCGGTTCAACTTGTATTAAATAAGTCGTCGTGGGCCATGGAGGCCGCCCCCACGCCATGACCGGAACATATTTGATCGGGGGAGACGGAGGTTCGATTCCTCCCGACGACATATCGTTAAATTCTTGTAGACCTATTGTTTTTGTTTCACATTCAACTGGTTTATTATTTGTTCTGCAACCCGCCCATTGCCCATCTCTATAACCCCGTGTACTCTTTTGATTCTTCCTACTGCCTGTCCTGCTCTTTCCAACGGCGCTGGCTGAAACACAATTTGAATCCTTGAATGCTTTTGTTTTTGTTTCAAAGAAACTAACTCGAGTGGTTTATTTCTTTCGTTCTGCACCCACCCACTCATTGCCCGTCCCCGTATACTCCACAATACAACAAACTTGTTTTGATTCTGTCCTTTCCAGTCACCGAAGCACGATAAAATTCAACCATACATATGCATGGCTCAACCTGGTGGAATACACCGTCGTGGCCATGGAGGTCATCCCAGAGAATATTTCCTCGTCCTCAAGTCGAATTCAACAGGGGAGGCAGGTTCGATTCCTCCCGATGGCATTCGGTAATCCTCCGAGTACTTTTGTTTATGACTCGGCTTGTTTTCTTATTTTCCTCAGGCTCCTTGCTCTCCGTCGAAGTCTTTCCCGATCCTCTTTTGTTAGCACTATACCATGTCTATCATTCTCCCCCCATTTTGTCACGTCCTGAGTGTACCATAGACGTTGTTCTGGTATCCAATTTACCTTTCTCCAGGATGTATGTAGACGGAAATTCAGGTCTACATATTTAAGGCACATAGTAGATAAAGCAAGCCGTCGTGGGTCATAGAGGCCGCTCCACAAAGTCAAGCACTTCAGTCCTTGAAGGGGAGACGGAGGTTCAATTCCTCCCGGTGGCTTCACAGAACACTTTTAGCTTTTTCTTGCTCTCCTTCTTAATCCCTACTAAAAGAACTAAGGAGTGGTATAATGATTTATGGTTCGATCTAAGTGAAAAAGCCGTCGTGGGCCATGGAGGCCGCCCGCACCAAATTCGCATCACCAGTTTGAACAGGGGAGACGGAGGTTCGATTCCTCCCGATGGCATATTGTTATACCCTTGTAGGCTTTTTGTGTTTTGTTTTGTTTTGACTTGGACTCGACTCACTTGTTCTGTACCCACCCACTCATTCGCATCCACCATTATAATCCTACACAAACTTGTGTTGATTCCTGCTCTTTCCAGCGGCCAAGCACAACAAAATAACTTCAACCCAACCAGACACATACATGCATGGTTCGACTTGTGTGGAATACATATGCCGCCGTGGACCATGGAGGCCGCCTCCACAAAGTGAGTCCCAGTGTGTTCAGCCCGGAGACGGAGGTTCAATTCCTGCCGATGGCATTAGTGAACATCTCTTGGTTTTTTACTTGCTCTCTGTCTTAATGTCAAATAAAAGAAGCCAGGAGTAGTATAATTAAGACCAGTTCGATCTAAGCTAATAAAGCCTCGTGGGCCATGGTGGCCGCTGCGATAAAATATTGTGGACCGTTTATACACGAAATTGAGTGCGGAGGGGGAGGTTCGATTCCTCCCGAGGGCATCCATAGAATGTTTGTGGGTTTTTTATTGCTCTGAGTCTCCTTATTAATTTCAAAGGAGTGATATAATCAAGACCATAGATTTATAATTCGATCTAAGTGAATCAGCTACTTGAACGGGGGAGAAGGAGGTTTGATCTCCTATCTCTGAGGCGTTTTTTTTTTCCAACTCGGTTGTCTTTATTTTTCCCTTCAAGTATCTTGCTCTCCGCCGACCGACGTCTTTCCCAATCCGCGGTTGTTAGCGCTATCCAATGCCTATGTCTGTCTATCTTCTCCCAAGGTTACCTCTACCATGGCGTCCTCTATCCTTCCGTTGAATTTCCCAATCCCTTTTCTCAGTGGCAAATTAGATGGAAGTTAGAGTGCGGAGGGGGAGGTTCGATCCCTCCGGATGGCATGTCGTTGAATCCTTGAAGGCTTTTTTTTTCTCTTTTTTTTGAACTCGGACTCGGACTCAGACTCGGAACTCAATTCACGGTGGTTTATTTTATTTATTCTTCAACCCACTCATTATTGCCCGTCTACTATAACCCCGTATACTCTACAACAAACTTGTTTTGCGGCTTCATGCTTCCTATTGCCTGGCTGAAGCACAATAAATTCAACCATACACATGCACGGTTCAACTTGTGCGAAATCCACATCCCGTCGTGGGCCACGGTGGCCACCCCTCACAAATTCTGCATATGGATCTATCTACTAGTGAAGGGGAGTCGGAGGTTCAATTCCTCCCGGCGGCATTTTTGCTGAGATGCCGAAGAACTAATGAGTGATCGTTCGCATGAAGGCCATTTTGCACTGGGCCGTTTTATTCAGTTTGTCTGATCCTTTTGTGTTCCTCTTGCGTAATTCATTGTAGGCTTGGATGACAGCGGCTGGCACACCATGAAGACAACCTCATTACTACATGTTTATGTTGTGAGCTCGGCGAAGTAAGTCGTGGGCCCGGAAGCCGCCCCAACGAAATGGGCTGACAAAAGTCGTGTGAAGTGTCATTTGCTCCTACTCGATTGCTCACCTACAACCTGCGTCCAACGTTGATAATAATCGCTCTTACAACACTAGCACGGAGACAAGACCTTATCCGTTCCGCGGATTTCCTCACGCCTCTTGACCAGACAGGCAGCAAGAATGATGACTAGCGTACCCGGAACTCACACCGAGTATTGAATGAGCAGGATATCGATATATATCACTTCAGCATGCTGTATGATCCCAGGTAACTCACCTGAGCTGAGATTCTATTAGAGATTTGCGGTATCTTAGTTTCCGTCCCCGCGGATCCCCGAGCGTTCTGTGACGGTAAACAAGAGGAGCAGAGTTGGTGGAGCGACGGGAAATGAGCGCAACGCACCATCCAGCAAATATAAACTTGCTTGCTAAGACACCAGTTGAAAACCCAGAAATGGATAGATAGCCGTGTGGAAATTCAAATCAAACCCAACTTCAAATCCAAGTCCGCCGGCGGATTCATCTATGCGGGGTTTGAACTTCCAAGAGTGTCGTGACGCATGGTGTGCACAGCAAGGTAAAGGTTGGCGGACCCGAATGCATGCTGGCATCTGACGAAGAATCCACTCACTGAAATCGTATCGGCTGCATGCAGGGAAGCCACAAATAACACGTCCTAGAGCGAGGGACAGACTGCGTGAGATAAAATAGAGTGGTAGCGGCATCAGTGCCCCACTTAACAGCAGACCCGAAATTGATATCGTGCAAGATGTCGATCCGCGGATCTCCCTCTACTTACATACAGATCTTGAAGCCCCCACGCGCCCAGACGAATCTGAGTGTAAAGAAGTGGTCAGGTCAGAATGCTTAGATGGAATTGTGCAAGGATGTTGAAGGGATGGAATCAGCCGACCACTGACGGACAGATGTAGATTCAGACATTGGGCAGTGAGAATGCGGTACGCACGGCCACGTCACAACACGCCCGTAGGTACAGGAATGCTGGATACTAGTCGCCACATTAAACTGTAAGAGCATCAGCACAGCCTAAGTACGGTTTCAGTTGACTCAGTGACACCAATGCAAGCAGGACCGCAGTGATGCACGTTGTGTATTGTGTTACTCCCAGTACCTACACGCCGTGGCCATAGAATCAGACAGGTACTCATCCCCAGACAAACACCGACACATAACCACCGAGCACGAACTGCCGGTCATGCCCGACCCAGGCGACGCCGCTTAGCCCGGAGATCCGACCTAATTCAGCGCACGACAACGTTATCAATGCCGATTAAAGTGGGAATCAAAACTTGTCAAAGCAGCGTGGCCGTGGGTGACAGTTGACGGAGGGTTTGGGTTCCGACATATCCTGATACGCAGGCAGAAGCTAAGGCTAGGCACGCATTGTTTGGCGAAAGTTTTGCACTGGCAGGCGGAGTAGTACGCAGCAGCGGATCTTGTTGTCGGGAACAAATGAGACTAGGAGAATGGAGGACCGAGTGGCACGCGTATGGGCCAGGACGATGTCAAAAAAGGGATCCAGGCTCCTGATATGGCAAAAACAGCCGAATATGGCATCGCGGTGCAGGGGCGGGAGAATGCAACATATAAGTTCGACCGACACTTAGGATGGAGGACAATGGCGGCCGCATTGGGAACTAGGAAGGTGGACTTGGAAAATGGAAGACTCAAAAGTTGGACCGCTGTGAGACAGACAATGGGGTCGTCATCGAAACACAAGGCACGGCCCGCAAACGGAAACCTTACCCGCAACATGAGACATGTCCAGGGCCAGTAAGCGCATAATCATCAGCAAGACAAGCGGTCGCACGGTAGGATCATTCCTAGAACCCCAATTCGACCGCCGGCGGTAAGTTGGCCAAAAAGAGATGATGGACATGATGCTCCCAGTTAGATGCGTAGTCTCGCAAGCTGATGTTCCGGGCAGCGCGCCATCTACGCCGTCCCGGACCATCAAGATCATGCTGCAAGTTGGCATGCAGCGTACGCGTCATCTGCGGAGCCACATTATTCAGAATCGGAGCTAGGTTGGATGTATAACAGTGCAATGGAGCACACATTCCGTCCGAGGCAACGAGGTTGGGACAGTTTAGTAAAAAAAAACAAGACACGGAAATATCCCAGCACCCTAGACTCCAATCGGTACGCAAACCTACACCCAGATGTCGCGATGCCGTATGTGTTGTACCTACTGCCAATTAGCGTCGGAAAGAGTGCAGACCCCGATGTGAGTCGGCCGCAAGTCGGCGATGCTCGGAAGGGCCCGAAGCGAGTCCGGGCGACGAGCGCGCCAGCTAGCAAACACAACAAGCGATTCGAATCTGGGGTGACCGTGATTCCAAGCAAGGGTTATGGAACAGGAAAGATGCCATCAGAGACCTTTGATGCCCCGGCAAGTCTTATTCTGGTTAGCATTTAATTTACGGACGTAATAAACAGGGAAAAATAAGATGCCGTGAGATGCCGTGCTAGCGTGAAATTTGAGGTTGCCGCCACACGGGAACGTTCAAATTTAATAATATTTAGCATTCGTTCGCTCTGTAGACCTTCCGTTGCGTTGTCAGAGAACTGAGGCACAGAATCACAGATTCATGATCAGTTTTTTTTTGAGAGGCTGTTCGTTTATCCGCACAAAGACGGCATTTGCAATTGGTTCGAAGTATCCTCAGGAGCCGCTGATACGAATAGAATCGCCGATACGGGCTCCAAATTCATAGGCAATAGATGATAGGGATCAGACGCAAAAAGGGACTCCGTTTCCGCACCAACTTGTTGAGCTCCGTGCGTATGAACAGCTCATATCAGTTTTCGGAGTCGAGTTTTTGTTGCCCCTGCATCATAACGCCAAAATGTGAAGGCAGGTGCAAATGGAGACGCTACATTTTCCGTCCAGGTTGATCGGGCCGGCGGCCGCCGAAGACGGCGGGCGCTTTACCCTTATTGCCCTCTTTGCTCCAACCACGATCATCCACTTACAGCTGTTGCAGTGCTATCCTTTTCGCATAGCGCGGCGCAGCCACGCTGGGGCTTCTGTACTGTATCATCCTGGTGATCACGCTACGCAAGGAAAGGCATCCTAACTTTTCTCGAGCGCGTTCTGCTCCCTATGTTTCAGGCAGCCTGCGTCTTAGAACTTCTTTACCGGTGTCAGTGAGGCACTCTTCCTCCTTGGGCCGAATTAACAAGTCGGTAGGTACTTCGCTTCCCGGTCCGTTGTAACTGGATTGGTCAACTCCCGTCCCTCGAATGAACGGCATCCTCTGGTCGCCCGACATATTCCGTGGCACGTTACTTACACCGTTCCAACGCCGTCTTGTCTTCTCATCTCGGTCTCGAATAACCACCAGGATCATATCTCAGCCAGTGCATGTCATTGTCACGACTCCGAGTCCTCTTCTATCATTCCTTCCCCAATCCGTCCACAAACTTAATCATACCCCAAAAGTCCGCACAGGCAACTTTGACCGAAAACAATCCAAGTTTGTGACTCATTCATATCCCGGCATGGTGTTACTGTGGCTGGAGTC